GTACCTCGTGTCCAGCCAAGTTTAAATAGACTTATAAATTAATATTCCTAATAGGAAAACTCGATATCTTTGACACGATCACCGATCGTGTGCAACTTTTTTACTATATGATTTTTTCCTGCGTCAACTTAAGGATTCAATTTGGTTCTTTAGTCCCGCGAAAGTTTACTCAGACATTTATTGTATAAATGCTAAAAAGCGCAAGCGGTCGAAGGAAACTTAGCATTCGACGTCTTATGCCTCCTGGTGAACTCGATTAGCATCCTCTTACCGGGATTATTAGCAATTCTGCAACTTGTAGGAAGCTCTGCATGCGATCCTCTGACGTTAAGTTTCTGGTCGTTAACGTACTTAGAAAGAAAGCAGGGACAATTCCTCTTTCATAAAGCACTTCTCTAGAGTATTAACAATCGTATGTAAGACAATCTGTATTGATCTGATCTTCGGTTGAGTAAAAGGTGAAAATATACTCCACATAAAGGACGACGTTTTGTAGATCTGCATCAGGTCTGGTTAGTGCGCGTGTGAGGATGCAAGACAGGTCTTGAGGAATAAATTTTGAACTTTTAAGCAACTCGAAAGCTCTGGACGGCAATCGTTGAATTACGTAATATCAAGTCCAAGCCTCGTACAATTAAGCAGGGAAGCGCAGAGTGGAAGGCATGCTTTTTCAACATACGTCATATTCACTGAGAAACCTAACAAATCTGGAAGTGCCAATCTCAATACTACATACAGAACATTGGCTTATTTAATTGTAGGAACTTCTTTCAGAATAGGTATCAGAGTTGAATGCTATTTTGCACATTTAGTTCACTAACCCAGTGGGTGAAATCGAATTAAACGCAGTTATAATTTTGTTTTCATACCGAGTTGCGATATTTACCAATAATTAATTGAGGTTTTTATGCACATATATATGTACATATACTACATATATGTTTGTTACATACCCACATACGTAACATCACAACAGAGTATGGATCGCGTTTGCTGCATTTGCATTAAATTTCTTCGTGCATTGAGCTTGAAATTATCGCGTGCGCTTAGACGCATGCGCATAAAGAGCAAATGCAGAAATTTCTAATGCTTGTAAACTTAATTGCTTTTAGCGGAGGGGGTTTGTTTGATGTTCAGTTTGTAGTTCATAAGTGTATTGAGGAAAATATTTCATTACCAAAAGTGTTAAAGACACTTTCAACGCATGTAACTAATAAAAAAACTAAGCACTGAAGTGTTAAGTGAATAAAATTATTAATTATGGGAATTTACGTGTGTGGTATAACCATGTCAAGAAATGTTTTGAGTAAATTGATGCACAGTCGAAATGTATAAATGTGCGGACTTAAAGTAGGTACCTTCTCTGCCTCTACCTCTATTCCCATCTCCAACTCTATCTCCATCTCTATCTCTATCTCTATCTCTATTGTAGTGTTAATACTATTTACTATTGTACTTTGTTCATTTTTGTACTTTGTTATTTTTGAAATTATTGAATTAAGTTCTTTTTCAATTTATGTAAATCAGAAAGAAAATTTTTGATTACTTCAGAATTTTTTCATCTTTGAAATTTAAAATACGTTAAATTAAAAATAAGTTTATATAAAAATTAAATTTTTAAAAATACAATTTTATAATTAAATACACCACAATTGGCGATCTTGCCAGGAGAAATATAAGAAATTATATTAAGCTGATATATTGATTTTGTACACTTGGTTTGTTGCTCCGCGGTACTAGTCCACAGATGATGAGATGTTACACCAAAATGTTGAAGTGCAATGCGTCGCAATAGTCAGCTGTGAAAAAGAGTAGCACTATTGCGAGCAGCTGGCATATTCCAACACGCACTACTACCACCACCGTTATCACCACCACTTGAATCACAGCAGCCGCAACATCAGAAAGCAATATCCCCATTGCCTTTTGTTGAAGATCAGCAATCACAATTAGTAGAGCAACAACAGCAACAGCT